ACACGGATGTTGGTTTTTCGTCTTCTCACTTTTGTGGGAAACATCTCCGCCACGAGAACGTAGTGAGTATTGCTTCCTCAACAGAGGCTATTTGAAACGCTTGTTCGTAGAGGGGAGTTGCGCGAGGTGCATGGGAGGGGTAACCTGCCGCAACCCTAGACACCCACCCCCGAGCATACTTTCGGAGGCCGACCGATGTAGCCCATATAGCTGACCGGGTTGCAAAAGTTCTCTACTTCGCCAGCCAAACATGGCTATGAAAGCATTCAAACCATCTAGAAAAGCTTCCGACTAACCGGTATATCTACTTAACAGTGCGATGCTTCCTCAGACTCCAGGTCAGGGAACTCGTCCCCGAGACTCATGTTAATGCTGCTGTCCTTGCCTGAGAACTGTTTAAATGAGCATGTCCGTTTCAAAGTTGAATAGGAGCAGATAGAGTGGATAACTCGAACGAACGATGCGATTGGTGATCAACTGGGCGACTGTTACCAATAGCCGTAGGCTCCATTTTTGCATGCATGTCTGTACGAAAAAACGGCTAAATGGTCAGACTGGCACGTACTTTAAATGCTCCTTCAGGTCCTTCTCGTGCATCATTAGTCGCAGGAGTAGACTGCTGGCGTAGAGATGTGCGTTCTCGATTTGCTCCAGGTATTTCATCTCACTCTCCTCGTACTCGATCGATTCAATTTGGGGCAGCTCGTACGCGTCGGCTGTGTGGTACGGATAAAAAAACCGATAGTGGCACAACGAAAGAAAGGTCATGATAGGACAGAAGGACTGATGAGGAAGACAAAAAATTAGATAGGAACGCAAACATGCACAGCCAGCAAGGCATACAGAAACAAGGCGTGTGGAGTTAGTTGGCACGGTCAGCAGATAGGTGTTAAGACGATTGCACTATATGTGTGTACAGGTGTATTATTCGTGAGTGATGGGAACGCGACAAGGAAGATTAAAAATTGTGAATCTATGTTTTCGTTTCTTTCCGATAGCTGATTGATTGAGAAGAGATGGAAGAAATAGAACGAACAATACAATAATCTCCTTAATTGGAACGCCAAACAGAGTCCAATCGCTGGCTTCCGCGTGATCTAGTGTACCGATTGTGCGAGCACATCAGCTTAAATTTTTGCTCAGGATGTGTGTGTTTGTCTGTTCATGAGAAGCAAAACTGGCTCGAATTAATGTGTCTGAGACTAGCGAATCTTACGCATTGAAATATTTCTTATGGTATGCTATCAAATGTAGATATTTCGCTATTACCTTCAGCTATCGTCGGCTGGTGGATAGGCCGAGTTCATGAGCACCTTCAATTGTAGCAGCCCACACGCGGTTATTCAAAGTTAGGTACTGAGAAATGTCTAACCACCTGTTTTGTTACAAGGGCGGGTTACGTGGACATTTTGGATCATAGGAATGTCCATGTCAGTGGTTCCAAAAAGCTTTTCAATCGTCCACACGTGTAGCACCACCATCACCACAAAATTCCACCTATGCTCGAGGATGAAATCCACAGCAAGTTGGACTAGCCTTCTGTGCCTGTTCACCGTAGTTCCAGACTGAACAACTGAAGGGGACGCAGTTAGATGGGTACTCGGATACATTTCGGGCTGGAGCATCAAGGTCATACCGGATCACTGTAACGTGTTTCCTGTCAGTAAACTTTAGGAACAAATTTCAGATTTCAGGAACTCAAGTTGGCATAAATCTTCGATACTTGAGGCTCCCAGTTTTGAAGCTGTATGATAGAAGGTAGCGTTTGAAGATATAGCACACTTGAACACTAGTCTTCGGACCAATACGCAATTAATGCATATAATAGGGTTTTCGATCATAAAAACACTGACAGACCGGTGTCGATTCTAACTATTGTTCGGTTCATGGCCTGAATATAGCCATCCAGAACTACCGTGCGTAAGGATAAAAACACGTTCGATTGCAGTACGCTGTCTGGTAAAGGTCCGGTGGTTTTAACAACGACGACGGATGAACGTCATGTCACGTAGTGTTTTAGTGTCACAAAAGAAAGAAGGTCGAACTGATTGGTTCCAGTGATTGCATGACAAAGACCTAATCGCCGGAATCAAATCTCAGTAAATACGAAATGCGGATCGATTCTAACGAGCTGAATAAAACGAACATAAAGTATTTTGAAGACTATCATCCAATGGAAAGTTACACACGGAATATCTGCAGAATTAATACACTTTCAAAAATAACTCATAAACAGTTTCGAGCAGTATGTTGTTCTATGGTGCAGTGGTTGTGGGCGATTGAAGAATTTGATCATCAAGATGAGGAACCACAAATTGGGCAAAATTTCACCTATTTGTGTAAAATTAAGAGTGATTTGAGCATTTAATCTGACCGAGGATCATATCATTTCTGGCGTTAGTTGTGACTGGCGAGCGAGAGAGAGGGAAAATCCACACAGACCATATGCTTTGAGCTGACAAGAAAAACAACAGCCACAGCAATAACAACAACAAGAAGAGCTTCTCCGTGCTGACTGAACACCAGGGAGAATTCAACGAACAAGTAGAAATTCAGGGTGTACGGAACGACTGGGAGGAGCGCAATTAAACAGTGGAATGCCTGAGGTGAAAATAGAATTATAAAAAATAAGTATGTGAACATGTTCAAATCAACAATCGTAACAACGTAACCAATTATGACAATTATGACCGTTTGTCAAAAACTTTGCGTGTTCTGAAAACGATATAACCGTGGAATCTGACATCTTTCCTTATAATCTAAGATCAAAAATGTACTTCGGACCACTTTCATGTGTCATCATGAAAAAAGCATATATATTTATATATATACACGAAAAATCACCAGAGGTTGCACAGGCTTCTGATTAGAGTATACAACTAAGAACAGGACAAGTTATGCCAGGCGCCGAACCTATTGGAATACCATTAATTCATAGCATTATCCAGGAGGTTATGGGTTGGTTACAGATTAAGTGACAGCTCCCATTCAGTAACTCGACTGCAACATGTGGCTACAATTTTAGTGTGAAGATGGTGTCTTATTTCCTGGACTTTCCAAGATTAGGAAATAGGCTATTGAAATGCGTCGCATTTACACCGATTCGAATCCGGCGGGTGAATCGCACATAGACAGAAACATATCGCCGAATGAAATCGATTAGAGCAAACAAAATGATTGATAAAAGAGTAAGAAACGGGTGTCGACGCGCTATCACGACAACGAACATGCACATTTAGGGGTCATTTGGCAATGTCGTTTAGTCACGCGGAAACAAGTGAAAGCATGACACGTTTGGCAGATTTTCTCACTGCGGGGAACGGAGTATGGATTAGGACAGGAAACACTGCGTCTGACTATCCTCGGTGAGTGTTCTGGTGAGAAAAACAATCGCCACGGAGGGTGTGTGAGAGAGATTAAATCAGTTGGGCGAGATGCATAGGCGGACAAGAAGACAAGGTCGGAGAGACTGAGAGAGAGAGAGAGCGGGACACGATTCAAACAAACCAAACACGGGGTTAGAGCAATAGAAACGCGAACACAGAAAATAGGAACGACTGATTACGATTCGGATCGGCCGAGGGTCGACGAACACGGCGGGGCTCTTTCCTCGCTAGGTCCCGATCTTTTACTGGAACAAAGCAACGGGATCGGGACGCGTGACAAACAAGCGGATTTCGAAATGGAAATTTCATGTGCACATAGCTGACAGATTGCGTTTGGTCAGATGTGACTGGGCAATTTCAACAGATGAAAAAAGATAGCCTCCAATATGCTTTTCGAAAATCGAATCATCGCATCAACGTGCTTACTATCCTCCTGTTGTTAAAACCATCCGGTCAAATTTATTCCAACAGTTGAATAACATTATCCACATAGAAGTGATTATTAGAGTGAAGAGTGAAAAAGTAGGGATTGACCGAACACTAGTTTTATCTATTTTATCTTTTTTTCTTTTACTTTCTTTTATTGAATATGCAATGGTACAGTTTTCAGAAAGGGGAAGCGGCCAATCAAAGGGCTGCCATTCAATACACAATGAGGAAAGTTAGGCGGTGGTTGTGGGATTCGAACACATCCCCGGGGTGATAATTTAGTGACGTTAGTCGCAAAAGAAAAGCATACTTTCCCTACTTGTGAACGGAGATTATTCCTTCGATCGGGAAGGGTTTTGGAAACTCTCAATTACCAACACTAATACAGACATGGTCGACCAATACATCTGCTGTACAGATGTTCGGTATGTATGATCATAGCCTGCGTAAAAGCCATCTTCAACGAGTTGAAAATCGATCTGCTGAGACGTGGATACGCATCATACAAAGATGGATACAACCGGGCAGAACTGTGTATACCGACCAATGGGCCGGCCATTGTTCACTCTGTTCGCTTGGATATATTCACGTGTGTGTGAACCACAGTTTTGGAGTCGAATCAAACGCCGACTGAAAAACGTTAAAGGTGACGTTATTGGAGAACATCTGGACGAGGTCTAGTACAGAATATGGTTTGACTTTTCTATAAAAAATTTTACCAACGGCATTGAAACTTACTTGGCACATATTAAACAATTGTATCCATGTTAGGTTTTCTTCCCTGTTGATTACATTTTTGTATTCCATTTAGTTTTTATTCCCTCAATGGTTATGCTACTTATGAGTAGTACACGCTTGATTGCATAACGTTTGCTCCCTGGGGTGCTGACTGGAACCTGAAACGACACGTTAGAGACGTGAAATTCATTAATACCAACGGATTCAGTTGGCTTCGGTTTATTTCCTCCACTTGGACTACAAGGAAGGCGATTTACACCGCCCAACTAAACAACTACCTCTCTTCGTTCCCCGTTTATTAACTTCTCACGCATTCTCAGACGACTTTCTAGCTCAACATAAAGCTCCTTAATAGCGGATTCCATCGATGCGGCATCAGTCACATTAGCTATATGACTGGGTGAATCTTTTTCGGGCATATTGTGTCAATCTAGTCAAATTTTGTGAAAACAGATTAGCTGCGGCAGCGGTAAACTGGAAATTGTCAAAGCTCCGCATGCACGGCGTAGACGGACGCAGAAAACACAGTAAGGACTGAGGTACCTTATTTCTACGTGAAATTGGTAATCGATAAGATATACGACAAATCCAAACGGACTTACGACTGGGTCACCTGACGCCAGAGTATGGACAATTTCAAACGCAGTGGTACAGGATGACGTGTGAAATTGTAGTACAGTAAAACCAAATGGATGTGTTTGCGGTTGTAATCACAGAAAAAGAGAAAAATAGCAAGCAATCCTTGATGATTGAATAACCGTTCGACCTTGGAATTCCGTGATTTTCCATTAAATATTGAGTCTGATTTGGTCAATGAATATTGTCATATGTAACAGACTACCCGAATGTTTACAGTAGTCAAAGTTCAAATACTGAAACATAGAAATTTACTTCCGAACGATTTACACTGCAGGTGGTGGTTATTTTCCTACAAAAGAATCCCGCTACCTCGTGGGTCAGGCTTTGCAAGTGTAGTTCTCGGGCTATTAATACCAAATGAGCATGCGTCTACTTTGGCCTGGGGACGCTGTAGTCCGTGAAGCTTCCTCTTTTCATGAAGATTATTATACCGTAACCTGTTTGGCTCAGTGTAGGATCAGAGGTGTGTGTGTGTGTGTGTGTGTGTGTGTGTGTGTGTGTGTGTGTGNTGAAAAACTCAAGCACTGCCGCACTAGACCCGGATCAGTCTTACCTGGCACTAGTCGAGCGAGTTCAACATTTTTTCCGTTGCTGAGCTCATGCAGGGCACCGTAAATTAAACGTATGTTGGAAGATCAAAATAAACTTGAAGATGATATTGTAGATAACGCACGAACCTAGAATATAAAATAGTTAATTTTATTCAATTCAAGCGGTATAGTGGCCACAGGACCGGTTTAGACCATGACGACAGCCACCATCTTCTGTGCCACACTGCGCTTGTATCGGCATTTCCGAGGCGGTACCCCACCGAGCCGATTGTTCCTTGATCTCTGGGTCGAAACTGTACATCCAGGTCTCATCACCACGGATGATCTCCCAAACTGCATTGGAACATCCTCCATAAAAATCTGGCAAGCACGGTACGGCACCAATACATCCGAACTGTTTTCTGTTCATCACTGAGTGTACGAACCCAGAGTGTACGAATATTTCTGAGTCCGAGCTTCTCATGTAGAATAATGTGAATTGATCCCGATGACCTTAACCAGCTGTGCCACTGTCACTCATGCATCCTCTTTCACCATCGCTTGCACAGTAGTATAATGTTGTCCGCTGTGGTGGGTTTCACAGATCCACCACACCGTGTCTCATCATCCATGGACCGCGTGCCACGCTAAAATTCCGCAAACCACTCAACACACAGTGCTTCTTGAAGGTGCGTCATCACCCCAAAGGCAGCTTGCAAACAATCGACACTCTGTTGCAGCTGCCTTGAACCACGCTGGTAATCGTAGAAAACCATCGCCCTCCAGTAACAACGACTGAATTCCATCCTCACGGTCCGAGTGTATGGCGAACCTTGTACGACTGGTGAGCTGTGCTGTGCTGTGCTCTGCTGTGTCGATATTTGGTTGTGTGAGTTGTAATCAGTGAACACTAGTCACAATAGATTACCGTTCATGTTTATCTTGCCCGGTCATCTGCAACCCATATTCGTCGGGCACTGTTTATCCGAAACTTATTGCTCAGTCCTCGGATATAACTGCTCTGGCGAAACAGTAAATGTAAAAAAATGTAAAATGTAAAAAAAATTGTTTATCCTATCCAATATCACCAGTGTGTAATCAAATAGTTGGAAGTGTACTGTCTGTTGGAGACAACTGCATTACGTTTGAGGACGAACTTATTAGGAAACGTTGTACGAGTTTGAAAGAACGTGTTGATAGGTACGAAACTTACCACACTGCTGGACCACGTTTAAGTACTTCCCAGTGTTCAAAATCTTGTTCAAATGCGACGCGAGAAAACTGGGTAGATTGGTTGGGATCACACTGTAATGCCGTTCCCAGAAAAATGCCCAATCCACGTATTCATGAGCCACCTGATCCCACTGATTTTGATCACGTGGGTTCAGATGACGTCCCGGTTGAAGGAATTCCGGCACAGGACCGGTTGCGATAAAAAACTGCCGACCGGGAACAGCAAAAGGATAGGAAAGATAAAATGGTTCGAATGAAAAATGATAGGGAAAGAGTGACATTATCACTATCACACTGTTGCCATTACAAATCGAAATTTAAAAAAAAAATGTGACGTATTTCGACGATCGATACGGAAGACTCAAAAGGAACACGTAGACAGTGATACGGAGAGGGGCAACTAAGAAAACCGTCTAATGTGACGAATATCTCAGTTTAAATAATCTTTGAATTTGCGTTTAGCAGTGCTCATAATTGAGTGATTGTTTACGAAATTAGAAGAAATAGAAATTTAGTTGGAAGAATGTGGAAGGGGTTAATTGCCCGAATAAGATGGGCGACGAAATACAAACACAGGAGCAGTAGATGTGAGTGAACATGCCCACCGGCTTCATTTTGCTGTGATGTGGTTATAATATGACGATCGACGATGCCGGATCGCGGGAGCATATCCTTTCTGCTATTCGAAGCAACGAATAAGAGGATCATCTGAACTGGTTTGGGATAAAAAAACATTCCGGGTAGCCGCTGGCTCCTCGAGTTTGGCGATTGTACGGCAGTTTGATCAGTTCTGTTATATCGCGAGGAAACTTGGCCATTAAGAAAACAGGAAAGAGATATACTGTCGGTGTTCGAACAGCGCTGTCTACGCAGCATTGCACGAATCAGGTGGGGCAGCCGGACTAGCAATGATGAGGTTAGGCTTATAGTTTCAGGTAACTGCGGAAGCCTACTGAAGCAAGTGGTCGACGACCTCTAAATATATAGCCTTGGTGCTAACGCAACAACAAGAATCACAGAACATGGGGGGGAGTTGGGATACAAAGCAGAGTAAAAGTGGGTATGCGGCACACGTCACCAAATAGGTTGTAACAGCGCATGATGTTTGCCGAGGCAGATAATGGCTGGAATAAAGCCAAGGGGTGATCAAACGAAGACCTGGCACGAGGATATGATAATCCTAACCAATATACTCGATCATATAGATACCGTTAGGCTCCCTGGTGATAAATACGATGTAGCAATTTGGGGACAAAACCTTGGGGGCACCCAGACTATTTCTTGCTCTTGTTTCCACGCTCGTAAACCCATCTCTAGCAGAATCTAGTTTATTGTTGCTAATCCGTAAATTTACGGTTCTCTACATCTTCTTCTCAATTTATCAAACTGCCTCTGATCTTATCCCAATCATGATCTGTCCTGGTAAAACCGTCGAGTCTGTCCATTCAGCGTTGAATATACCATTCAAAAAGAACTCGCTTCGGGGTACAGTGTATTCAACCGCGTGGGAAGGTCGAGTTCAGACAGAAATTGTTGGTGCACAGAACTAATGAGTATGGAACGTGAAAACCTGGTTACCACAGTTTCAATTCTGACGTAGCTCCCTGCAGTTAGGCATGTTCGGGATGACTATACAGAATGACGTGTTGAAATACGAGACGAGAATGAGCATCCTGGTGATATGGATTAAACTCGCACGAATGATGAACGTATGTGCAATAGTTCTCAAATAGAAGGTGAAAACTAGTTATTCTTTTTTTTTTTCTCTGACGAAATGGATTTATTGCTTCGATGAAGACGACAATTGATGTACAGAGTAGGAGTCATTTTAACGATTATCACCACCATGTTATCCGGGGGGGAGGGGCAGGGGGTGGAACATGAAGAACAAACTCACCTCTTCATAAGGATCAGAAATAACACCACGATAGATCCACTTCTGAAGGATGGTGAAAAACGGAACCGATGCCTGGAAGGAAAACAAGATGGAAAGAAAAAATGAAATCCTGAAATGACGAGACCGTAAAGCTTGATCCGTTAGGATTTCAAGTCAAATTAATGCTGAGTTTTATACTCACACGGTGAATTCTTAGCACTTTACGAATTCATACACAAAATGCAGCGACAGAAACTTAAAAAGATAAACAAAACGAAGTCCGACATTGTGGTACAGGAAAGACTTTATTGTAACGTTAGTGCCTGCTTAATTAAAAGACGGTGGGAAAAACGAACTGTTTATATATGTAAATATGCGTTTTAATATTATTCAAATTTGTGTAATGAACAACAGACGGGATGGATCTCACAGTCGCGACAACCTGCTATTCTGTAATGATGGAAACCGGGAACTTAATACCCGGGACCTGGCGTGGCGAACCACATAAGGCCCCACTAGGTTAGGCGTGAAATTGAATCGGGCGACAGCAAAGCTGTCTACCACCAAAATTGGTTGGCGGTGGCGTGGTTCCAACCTTGAAAGATAAGGTAAAAAAAGCACACCGATGACAGCGATTGTACAGATGATATTCGAAATCTTGAGTGCAGCTCGGCGATTAGATGGAGCTCCCATGAAAGCGTGATATAAACCAAGCTCTTCATCAGGAGTTACCCTACCAAAAACCTATCACATGTGTCGAAATGCTTATCAACGAAAACACTAATTGTAACAGTCCAGATGCTTAGGTACAGGAATAAGTACATTTGAGAAATAAGGAAAATAGGGCGAAATCTTTTCTATACAGACCAAATGTGAATATAAGAGAGCAGTACAGCCAGCGTGGAAGAATTTGAGCGATGAGAAAGTTAAATACGGTGCTTCTGGGAATCGGCTAGTTTCCGGAGGTTGTGTGCAAAAGAGCATAGTCCGCGGAACAGTTGCCGACGGGATTCGCCGATGTGGTAAACAGGACACGAACAAGTTCTGGGTAAGTATGCGCGAAATCGTGAACAATGTAAAATATCTAAACAAAATTGTTCCTTGCGTGCTGATGATCACGAATTGTTTCGGGGGCAAAGTGGGGGTGGGGTGGTTGTGCAGCCGGATTCCTATTGCTTCCGCTGTTGCCAAAGTGCGACTCCCAATCCCCTTAGATTAACGAGTGCGAAACAAACAGGCGTAGCGTCTCGGTTGCATTACCACTCCACTGGGCGTGAAAGAATCGATTTATTATTGATGGTCCGAGTCACTCTGTTGTTCAGCAAAGACGGACGATGTTAGCGGAGTTGTTTTTATGAACGTGCTCGTACTCATGCGTCCCACATGAACAGGTAAATGAGTAAGACAAGAAAAAGATGGCAAAAATAGACAATTTATTTTAGCGTGGAAAGCACCAGATCTATTATGCGTAATCTGTTTGGGTTTGAATTCTCAATACTGATCTTCAAGCCATCAGAACCTATCAATAAAAGATTCGTAAACTGTATCCTCGCAGGGTTCCGACCAGCATCAGCGAAATGCAGCAATGCGAACTTTGCTGATCGCTGCCCAGCTCACCAAGTATACAAAGCAAGTGAGAATGTATAGGATGGACAAGAATTGAGCCTAACTGGAACGAGACAAGGAAGTCAAACCTCTATGATAAACATAGAGTACAAATCCTAACCGTGCGTAAATTCCGTTTCAAGCATTCTAACCTGATTAGTGGTGACAATAAGAGCGCCACTGCCCTCAGTTAGTTATCATATTTTTCACTGTCTCTAAGCAACCGATAACCGATGAGTCGCAGAATGAGGCGCATCAGAATTAGTGCATGATCCGACTCAAGGCAAATGGTCCAATAGGATATGGAATTTTGTACTGAACCACACTAACGGTAGCTTACAGCTATGTAATCAATCTGGGTCTATTTACCCCGTTGAACTACCCGTAGAACACCATGTAGCAGTCCGACGAGAGCTCTGTCAAAATGGATGCTAGATAAGCCCAAGGGATAATCCGTGTAAAACTGAAGTATTCGTTCACACTGTTGTTTGTTCGCTGGGTGGGCCGAACGAAGTGACCCCTGGACAGGCTTCGGATATGATCAGTGGTCCAACTTCCTCGTGGAACAGACAACTTCTGCAGTATATAGGGACAACATACCATACGCAGAAAAACAGATTCAAATATTAGAGTATTGCGGACTATGTGAAGGAGAGCGTATCTCCGCTTGGGATGAGATTAAAGGAAACAATTGGTGATGAACTTACCGCACGAAGCAAATAAGAGAGCAACTCATTCATCTGTTTCACTCCGTACACAGTGCGAGCGTGATCGTACAGTAGGGATAGTACCGCCCCACCTAAACAATTGCCTCGAGTGATGTCCATCACTACGCGACTGAGTTGGGTGAAGATAGTGGCGGAATCCTGTGAGACGACAACAAAGGGTAATGCGGCAAGGAGTGGAGGGGGGTGGGAGTTTAGGTGGATAGTCAGTAATCGGTTCCGTGGAGGTCATACAAATCACATACAATGTGATTGGTTGGTAAGAAAATACATCAGTCCACAGTACGAGGGTGTAGTGGTAGTAGTAGTAGAAAGTAGTAGTAGTGCAGANGCAGAAACAGTCAAATGGCAGATTCAATGATGGGGCGTCTTCCGGTTAGAAATAACAGTAGGCCTCGGCGTGCGATGTTTCCTGAGGCAGGTGGTGAATGAATAAGACTAGTGCACACAAACGTCGCATTAACCCTTCCGGTTGGGACCTTGATGTCGATGAAAGCACTGGTGGAAAAAAGCAAAGGGTGGTCAACCTAAGACCTGGGACGAGGGTATGAAATCCCCAGCCACGGGACTAGGTCACATAGGTTCTGTTAGGCTCTCTGGATAGAGACCTCGGGATGATCATAACCGATGGTTCGAGACACTGAGTGATATGGTTGAATGTTGTAAACTGTGGCGTTCGTGCATCTTCTCAATTTCTTTGCAATCATAGACCACTGAAATTATCTATGTTCTGTTCGACTTTATACTTTCAACCTTCCTGTCTTTCTCCTATTCTTCATCCAAATGAGCAGCCAAAACCGCTGCACGAAGGTGAATGGTTAATGGTTGTACAAACTGAACTGAACTGTTCTTCGTAAATTGATTTTAACTGTATTCTGTATCTTCACCCTCTGACACTTCCTCCTCCCCTCCCCTCCCAACTACTTCATCTAAATGAGTATGCAGAAGACCGTAATCACAATGGACGTGACGAATATCCGTTTGAGTAGATAGCTTTTCGACAAAAGCGATCGCGATCTGTGGAGACACTNCCCGCCATTAAAATGAGGTTATTTTCATTAATGTGTTGCCTCAAAAGTAGTGCGCTTGGATATGAAAAAGCACATGAGGCATTCTCTCGGAGAAAAAGGTCAGGTGGCATTACAGATGCCACTTCCTACAACAACACTGTAAGAGATGAGAACTTATCCTCCGGTAAATTGAAGGAACCGATGGCCGCGAAATTGCTAAGTCGATCCCCCCGGATGACCAACCAAGTACATCTTGTGACAGATCTGTCAATCTCGATCTACGCTGGGAAAGTTTGCTTATGAGGTGCATGCACTCATGCACACAGACATTGTTGCGCATCGATATGTTTAACCGGTTAGGCATGATTGCAGTGCAACAAACGTAGCATCAACGTCGATACGGATGGGGCCGGGTGTCTTCGTTAAATTACTTTAATTAATTAAAGTCTGACGCGGCACTCTAACGACTATTAGTCATCTTTCCTCAATCACCGCAAACGAGTTGTTCGTGAAACTTTCAGATCACCGCGCAACGCGAAAAGGATTCCTCTGAGCCCAGGCCACCTGATGAACGCGGAATCGACGCGCACGCCCCGAATTTCGAACATATAGTATCACNAGTATCACGAATAAACATTCGCCGAAATTCACCTGCAACCCATCTTGCATGTGTACCCACAACCAGAGAGAAAGGCTAAAAAGTGAATTGTGTCCTAACCTCATCCCTATGACTTCCATGAGCCAATTTTCTTCCTGTAATAAATTTAATGAGACGAACAAGTGGACAAATAATCGTATTAATTATAAGTATAAAAAAATGGTATACGACGTTTTGCGATGCAATTAATTTCTATGCATTGCGGTGTGCACTGTTTCGTCACGGAAACTAGCCGACCTTATCCAGAATAGGTGAAACTTGAAACCTAAATCCGTAGTCAACCTTTCTCCTGCTGCCATCGATCTGGCGATAAGCAATCTGGAGCATTCAATGGAACTACACACACACACACACACACACACACACACACACACACACACACACACACACACACACACNCCAATACCCCAAAAATGTGTGGTTAGAGAATTAGGAGTGAGCGGAATGCATTGTTGCCGGGTATTCTGTATGATGTATCTTGTAAACTGGGAAAATATTAGGTCAAGAACAAGCGGCTGACCGGAAACCAATGCTGTGACAAATGTGAAACCAAATTTCATTGGGGATTGGGGATTCCCGAACAAAACGAAACAGTTTGGTTATAAAGTCTAGAAAATCAAATAACGATTGTGTTCCAAAGCGATGCTCACTGCATGTAGAACACGCGGTAATTTATGCGTGCGAATGTGAGGGCTCGTCAAGTCCGTTGAATTATTCGGATTATTTTCGCTCAACCACAGATACAATTGCCAAAACAAACATTCAACCAGCAACAATTCGGATGTGGCCAATAAGCCAAAATTGGAATTCTCGGGTCGAACGAAAACAACCCTTGGGTCCCGACATGCAACGTGGGCTGCATCCACCTAAGCCTAAGACTGAAGCTAGCTTCTTTTTCGATTAGCATCCTCAACACAAAGAGGGGCTAGGTCTCGCAACCATAAAGCAGAACACTACAAACCGCAATGTATACCCTTCTCTTAAGGAACAGTCAGCTGTTCAGGCAGCACCACGTGTCGCAGGTTGGCAAAAATCGCTCTAGACTTCGCTGTTCGTGACATGATCTTTTCCACAACACCAGAAACCTTTATCGCAGTGGAAATTAGAGAAAATTATATTGTTTACAATATCACGTTCAGTTTAACTCATTCGAGTTCACGCGCACTATACACTGTATTGATTTGTTTCTTTTGAGTGTGCTTCTCACTCCTTAAAAGTTTACTTGTTCTCAACAAGTGTCAGGTATCTGGTAGAAGAAGGGCCGACAGATCCCAAGCGGCCTGGATGAAAATAGGAGCAGATGTTATGTGTAACGTCGACCCACGAAAAGCTTGAAAAAGTGTGGACCCAAACAGTTGGTGGAACAGAAATAGCAGCTACTTTGTGGATGAATTAGACTGTTCCAGCTGATTTGTAGCATTAGAGATAGGTGGATCCAAGATCGGAGTCTAACCACTCTTTACTTTACGAAGAAAAGGCTGTTCCTAGACTTAAATCTAAAAAGAAAGTTAAATAAAAGAGGAGAGAGAGGGTAACCCTGAAGAAGGTAGCTAGATTGTAAGAAATGAAGATTCATGAGATCAAACCTCGAAAGAATATCCGTATATGACATAGTTGCCGGCTCAATGAAATGATAAGCTGTATTGAACACATTAGTCGTAAGATTTGTCTGACTAGTAGATACCAGTATATATATTATATATATATGTATATATATATATATATATATATATATATATATTCACACACGTCTGAATCCAGACTGTGTGACAGTCCTTAGTAAACTCAAGTTTTGATACACCACCATGCGGTGTGCAGCTTCAATTAACCGAAGAGTCCAATCGTGAATCCCCGTCGAAAATTATCTGTCTTGGCTTAGCAAACCCGGTCGTGGGATATAAACATACAACTCGTC